TTATGTATGTAATGTATGTATGTATGTATGTATGTATGTATGTAATGTATGTATGTATGTAATGTATGTATGTATGTAATGTATGTATGTATGTAATGTATGTAGGTATGTAATGTATGTAGGTATGTAATGTATGTAGGTATGTAATGTATGTATGTAATGTATGTAGGTATGTAATGTATGTAGGTATGTAATGTATGTAGGTATGTAATGTATGTAGGTATGTAATGTATGGGTATGTAATGTATGTAGGTATGTAATGTATGTAGGTATGTAATGTATGTATGGTATGTAATGTATGTATGGTATGTAATGTATGGTATGTAATGTATGGTATGTAATGTATGGTATGTAATGTATGGTATGTAATGTATGGTATGTAATGTATGGTATGTAATGTATGGTATGTAATGTATGGTATGTAATGTATGGTATGTATGTATGGTATGCATGCATGCATGCATGTATGTATGTATGTATGTACGTACGTACGTACGTACGTACGGATGGATGGATGGAGGTAGGTAGGTAGGTAGGTGTATATATATACATATATAATGTATGTATATATATATATGTATATATATATACATGTGTGTGTATATAATGTATTTATATATATAATGTATATATATATACATATAATGTGTATATATATATAATGTGTATATATATATATAACTGGATTAGATTACGTGGCATCCCAGTGGTTTATGGCTATGGTAAATCCCTTGAAATCAGAAACAGAATTGGCTCTGAGTTCGCTGAGTTCGCTGCTGGCCGCCCCATAGATCGCTTTTGCTTGGTATGCAGACATGGTGCGCCAAAGCGCCCATGATGCGCCGTTGCCGGGGGAGAATGTTGGAAAGGTCACCCAAAACCAACAGGGAAAATATGGTGGATTTAAGTACGAAAAATATGGATTGTACCACGAAAACTATGGATTTTACCATGAGCAACATGAAGTTTACTGTCAAACAGATTGGAAACATATGACTTTTGGGAGTGTTGAAGGGAATGTAGAGTGCGTCAGAATGGGACAGTCGGTATATGCCTGCTTGTATGTGTATCCAATCTGCATAAATGGCATGAAATGTTTCATGGTTTCACATGTTACGTGAGCTGCGCTGGACACGCTGGACAAAGGAACGGTTCGGAGGCATCAGAAAAGAGGAAACTCATGCACAAAATCTCGATGGCCATTTCAGGAACCTAAATTGGAGGTACCTACCATATATAAGGCCCATTGAAAATCTGGTGTTTGAAGAAACAAGAATGTGTTTCTATGCGCCGTGAAACACTGGGCTGATTTGGTGGTCATTTGACCCGGGTGCACGAAATATATATGGTACCCTGGTGACCAAGAAAACTGCTGGGTGTTCATCCCAGGCCATTTTTACAGGGTGTCGTTGTGGTTGAGCCACCCAACCGAGGAGTCATGTGTTGCAGAAAGGTTAAATAGCTTTGCAACGCGCACTGGGTGTCTACCCGGAAGTGCAGATCCAGATTATATAACTTTAGTTATGGGGGTTATATCCCAAGTTATAAGGTGTCGAACCAAGCTTAAACTTACACCCATAGCCTCAACTGCACCCCCCGTAGTTACTTCCGCCAGGAGGAAGACATTTGACCTGGGACCTGGGACGTCTATATAGAAGCGTAGGCGACAAGGGGAGTCCTATGGTAGGCATCCCAACAGGGCAAGTCCCATGGATGGTAAATACAAAAACGAAAAAAAATCGACCTATCGAAACCACGGACCAGTTTCAATCAATGCTTAGCTAGTTTGGGTTGGTACTTTGGATTCATGACACAATGGCGTAGTGATATTCCCGTCAGTGCTGCGATTCCAAAGGATTCCAAAGGTTTCCAAACCACAAACACAGCACAAACCGACACCAAGCAGCTGACAGTTCTTTCCAATCACCCGGGGTTGAGCTGAGCATGGCTGGTCAGGTCTTCGCAATGGACTCGGGCCGTGAGACACTGCTGTAACATGCAATGAGTTCAAGGGTACGAGGTCGGGAAGAAAAAAAAATGATTCCGAATGCTCGTCCTAGCATGTTTTTCTTGATTTCAAGAATAACCCTTATATAAATTGGGTGTTGACCACCAATGGACCGATGTTTGAACCCCCCGAAGAATGGAAATGGGGAAAATGTGGGACAATACCCTCCAATCCACAGGTTAATCATCATGTTTCCCTCCAAATTGCAATTTTGGGGCATCCCCTATTTTCAGACAAAGCCATAGCCCAATAGCCATATCACCAGGGCCAACTCCACATGCCTCACTACGACCGGCCTCGTTTCGGGAGACTGGAAAGATCTGGAAAGTAGGCCCAGCTCAGGAAAATGATGAAAATGATGCCCACCCAAATGGGGCAGTACAAAGGGTCTGCCGCGTCAGCAAGCTATATCTCTATATCTGACGGAGGGCAGAATCTTTCTCAAGCAACTGTGGAGCACTTGCAGATTTTTTATCTCACGTCTTCAGATCAAACGTCACTCTGCGATTCATGATTGGAACATGGATGGCACACAGATCGTGCAATTGCTCGGGTGATGCGACGCAGGCGTCGTTCCGGCTCGCTTTGTGCGATGCTGTCCACTGGTCACGGCCAAACTTCGAGGGTGAGAGGTTGACCACCACAGCAGTGGTGTCGGAACAATTTCAACCAGACATGGCCCCCTTTTATTGTCATGTTCAAAGGAAATATGAACTAAGGTTCCAATGATCAAAGATTGGACTCAGGCTTTGTCGGTCAGAATTGAGTCGTACATGGGGGATTTCACCAACAAAGTTAGGGGATTTGACTGAAATGTCACGGGAATATACTGCTATTTATTGGTGGTTACATATATCCATCCGATTCCATTGGAATCCAAACACAATGGTTATTTAAAAAAACAATAATAATAATAATAATCCTCCTCCCCATCTGCATGCACAAATTGGTTCTTCCCGGGCTTCCCATAGTATGTTAATAGGAGCAGTGGGGAATGGGAAAACCCGCTGTGGTGTCACCTGTTTCTTCCATGTTGGCCAATTCTGCTCTGTATGCTTCCTGGAGGGCCCCAGTACACACAGCCAGCCATGCCTGCCATGCTTCATCCTAAAACGGAGAGAATATCTCCCAAAATCCATTTACAAGTAAGTAATATATATATATCATATATGAAATGAGTTTCCTAATGGTGATGGCCCCTTTTTTTCCATTCTATTTATTCCACTGAAAAAAAAAACAGATTCAGTTGTGTTTATCCCAGATTTCCATCCACACCTGTCACTGTATGGACTGGTTGGCCCCCATGGAAATCAGAATCTCCATGCACTCGGCAAATCTCACGCAGTCGCTTGAGGACCTACCAAAAACTACGAATCACACCTGGGCTGCGAAGATGGATCTGTCCAAATTTATGGAATTCTCCAAGGAAAATGATGAGAAAACATCTGAATTGGGGGGGTACCCAATGTCCAGACAAGATTTCCCAGATGTGGGGTTCTGTGAGCAATTTTCGCTTAGTATGTCTTCTTTGTCACTGAGGTAATTCTACCATATGTTCTGGATGTAAATGGCGGGATGCAGGATAAAGCCAGCAATAGAAATTCACGAATTGTATCCATATGGGGTTGCCGTATTAACTTATTAATCCCTGACTGCTTAAAAGCCCAGTTTGATGCAAGTCGAACTAGTCCACTGTCACCATAGATGGCGTCCCCAGGGTCTAGATGTCGCTCTGTATAGGTCATCCCAGTTTCTTAGGTTTGCCACTAGAAACAAAAACAACACATCAGGGACACAAAAGGCGTGTGAAGATCTCTGGAGCTGTGTGGAGTCACCTTAACCCATCTCCTGGATGTCTCAAGCCACACAAAGCACGTCCAAGTGAGCCAAGTGGCACGACGCTTTAGGAAGCATCATCATCGAACCTCACCAACAAAGGGATTTCCTGAAAACTGCCGATGAAAAAAATGAACTCCTCCATATTTTTCATGGCATGCCCATGATTTTTGTGGGCTCAACCCCCATGTTTCTTGCCTTGAGAACTCAAGGGAATGATGAGCTCCCACGCCATCCCCCATCTGCTGGGTACCCCTCATTGCTTCCAAAATCCATGTTGGTTGGGTCCAATCCCCATTCTTGCTGATTTCCCCATCTTTGGGAATGAAATTCCCAAGAATTCCCTACATTTGGCAGTGAAATCCCCCAAAATCACCCAAGTTCTCAAAAATCCACCCAAGTTTTGCTATGAACTCACCAAAAAAAACAACATTCGTGCGCACTTCCAAATCTCTCTCCCCATTTTTTCGCCACTTTCGCCACTACCACCCCACGGCTGCAGCCGGGCGGCGAATCCTCCTGGCTCCCCGCCGAAACGGCGGAGGCGCCAGTGGACCAGCTGCTGCCTTCTTTGTGCAAGTCCTGGGCAAATCTTGGGCGTTTTCAGCAGTTCAGATCATTGAGATAGATAGATATAGATAGATAGGATAGGATAGGATAGGATAGGATAGGATAGGATAGAGATAGGATAGAGATAGGATAGAGATAGGATAGGATAGGATAGGATAGAGATAGGATAGAGATAGGATAGGGATAGGATAGGATAGGATAGGATAGGATAGGATAGAGATAGGATAGAGATAGGATAGAGATAGGATAGAGATAGGATAGAGATAGGATAGGATAGGATAGGATAGGATAGGATAGGATAGGATAGGATAGAGATAGGATAGAGATAGGATAGGATAGGATAGGATAGGATAGAGATAGGATAGAGATAGGATAGAGATAGGATAGGATAGGATAGGATAGGATAGAGATAGGATAGGGATAGGATAGGATAGGATAGGATAGGATAGGATAGGATAGAGATAGAGATAGAGATAGAGATAGAGATGGAGATAGGATAGAGATAGGATAGAGATAGGATAGAGATAGGATAGATAGATAGATAGATAGATAGGATAGGATAGGATAGGATAGGATAGGATAGGATAGGATAGGATAGAGATAGGATAGGATAGGATAGGATAGAGATAGAGATAGAGATAGAGATAGGATAGAGATAGAGATAGAGATAGGATAGGATAGGATAGGATAGGATAGAGATAGGATAGAGATAGGATAGGATAGGATAGGATAGGGATAGAGATAGAGATAGAGATAGAGATAGAGATAGAGATGAGATAGAGATAGAGATAGGATAGATAGATAGATAGATAGGATAGGATAGGTAGATAGATAGGATAGGATAGGATAGGATAGGATAGGATAGAGATAGGATAGGATAGGATAGGATAGAGATAGAGATAGAGATAGAGATAGAGATAGAGATAGAGATAGAGATAGGATAGATAGGATAGGATAGGATAGAGATAGAGATAGAGATAGAGATAGAGATAGAGATAGGATAGAGATGGGATAGAGATGGGATAGAGATGGGATAGAGATGGGATAGAGATGGGATAGAGATGGGATAGAGATGGGATAGAGATGGGATAGAGATGGGATAGAGATGGGATAGAGATGGGATAGAGATGGGATAGAGATGGGATAGAGATGGGATAGAGATGGGATAGAGATGGGATAGAGATGGGATAGAGATGGGATAGAGATGGGATAGAGATGGGATAGAGATGGGATAGAGATGGGATAGAGATGGGATAGAGATGGGATAGAGATGGGATAGAGATGGGATAGAGATGGGATGGGATAGAGATGGGATAGGGATAGAGAGGGAATAGAGATGGGATAGAGATGGGATAGAGATGGGATAGAGATGGGATAGAGATGGGATAGAGATGGGATAGAGATGGGATAGAGATGGGATAGAGATGGGATAGATGGGATAGAGATGGGATAGAGATGGGATAGAGATGGGATAGAGATGGGATAGAGATGGGATAGAGATGGGATAGAGAGAATAGAGAGAGGATAGAGATGGGATAGAGATGGGATAGAGATGGGATAGAGATGGGATAGAGATGGGATAGAGATGGGATAGAGATGGGATAGAGATGGGATAGAGATGGGATAGAGAGATAGAGATGGGATAGAGATGGGATAGAGATGGGATAGAGATGGGATAGAGATGGGATAGAGATGGGATAGAGATGGGATAGAGATGGGATAGAGATGGGATAGAGATGGGATAGAGATGGGATAGAGATGGGATAGAGATGGGATAGAGATGGGATAGAGATGGGATAGAGATAGGATAGAGATGGGATAGAGATGGATGGGATAGAGATGGGATAGAGATGGGATAGAGATGGGATAGAGATGGGATAGAGATGGGATAGAGATGGGATAGAGATGGGATAGAGATGGGATAGAGATGGGATAGAGATGGGATAGAGATGGGATAGAGATGGGATAGAGAGATGGGATAGAGATGGGATAGAGATGGGATAGAGATGGGATAGAGATGGGATAGAGATGGGATAGAGATGGGATAGAGATGGGATAGAGATGGGATAGAGACGGGATATAGATGGGATATAGATGGGATATAGATAGGATAGATAGATAGATAGATAGATCGATCGATCGATAGATGGATGGATGGATGGATGGATGGATGGATGGATAGATGGATAGATGGATAGATAGGAGCATCAAACCCCAGCAATAGATTGTCAAAATAAATAAGATAAGATATGGTAAGGTAAGTAAGGAGGGGTAAGATAAGATGAGGTAAGATAAGATAGATGGATTGGATTAGATTAGATTAGAGAAGACAAGACAAGGTAAGGTAAGACGGGGTAAGATACGATAGGACAGGACAGCACAAAACAGGATAAGATAGGATGGGATAGATAGACAGACAGACAAACAGATAGATAGGTAGGATCGATCAACCCCCAGTAATGAAAAGCAAAGTTGGAAAGCTGGAACTTCTGAAAGAAAAAACATGTAGAACATGCGGGAAAGTCGTTTCTATCTTTTTGGGGAACCCTATCTCTATGAATAGGTGTATGTGTATATATATATATGTATGTATGTGTGTATATATATATACATATACACACACAATATACGTAGAGGGAGAGAGGGATAGGAAAAAACAGATAGGTAGATAGATACTTGTTGGCTCATCCCAGTTAGGAGTGGGTTAGTTCACCTCAATTTGACCTGGATTAACCCTACGGACCCGTGGTTTGCCCGGACTGCAACATTGACGCCCTGTTGTCGAACATGAAAAGAGAGATGTCAGAAAATACTTCGTATACGCAGTGTTTTCTGATTTAGAATTCAGAGTTTTCAGGGTTTTTGGGTTAGGGTTTTAGGGTTTAGGGCCCTGGGAAATACCAAAACACTGGCCCTGCGCTTTTGTATGTGGGCACGGCATGTCCAACGACAATGTTTGAAGACCGTTCTAACCTTCCCGGCAAACCATAGGGTCTTGCGCACCCTACTTACCCTACTTACAAACTAGGATGAGGCACCAAGTAGATATACATCTATGAAGAGAGAGAGAGAGGTATATATAGACAATATAGAATGATAGATAAGAATTCAGAATAGATATAAGACAAGGTCAGATAGATATTTTCTGGACAAAAATGAACATATGTATAAGTATGGTGGTATGTAATAATTGTGTTCTTTTTGTCATCGCTGCAAGGCATTCCGGGGAAGACCTGCGCCTGATTTTTGATAAACGCAAGATTGATAATACTCAAACTAGGAAGATATCTTTATCATATGCATTGATCTTCCTATAAACATTGGAAAACTGAAGAAACAAGCAGGAATGAATATGATAGGGACGCATCTTCAATAGTTGACAAATAGTGGTTTTTATATTGACTTGGGTGACTTGGATTGATTTCTTACTTCGGGCCACGTATAGGGCTTGGCCTAGGAGAAGATTTGGTTGATACTTAAGGTACAGGATGGGGCCCCCAAGATAGCGTTCAGTTGGCTTATAAGTGGCTGAATTCTATGGTTTATGGTAGATGTAACTAGAGTTAATGGTTGGTTGTAATTGTTTATAAACCAACTTATAACTGGGGGGGCCCATCCTTTTTCATAATTCTCACCAATATCTGCAGGTTGCACCGACATAAATGTCTGAAGCAATCTGCCACTGCAACACCTATAGAAAACTTCCTGGGAGGTTCCCCAAATTGGCAGATTCATTGGAATTCCAGCTGTTTTTAGATTATGATCATCCCCTATTGTTCAATGATCATACCCCTACTCACCAGCTGGGCAATTTGAAACCTCTCACGTGAAGTTCAGCCTTCGTGTGGCGCGAAGAAATCAGAGTTTCACAATTTATACATATATATATACATATATACTTGTGGCTTAAGGTTTGGATGCCTTGAATGCTCATGAAATATCAAGGATGCAATCTTCTTGGTCAGAAGAATCGACTTGCAAGGGTGGCGCTGTCACATATTGAAGCCACCAAAATGCCATTTGAAGAAAAAATCCTTTCGAACCCAAAAGGCGGCCGCAAGGAAAAGCCTATCTTTTGCACAAGATCATATTTGTCCTTACCACTGGATGTTGCAACCATGGCACGTTCGGATATTCACATGCGCCCTTGATAAACCCGTTATCAGGATTCGCATTGTGGGAACTAGAAAAACCCAATAAAACTCGGGACATCTTTAAAGAAATTGGAGCATACCGGAGACTTTCCCAAAGCAGTTGGACCTTTCTTGCGATTCTCACCCCCAGCAATTTTTCATGCAAGTCACCAGCTGGACCTTTTTCAACAAATTCGCCTGGAGTGGAAAACAAAACGATTTCGGAATGGCAAGCCTGAAACGTAGCGATGTCGCACCAAAATGGCAATCTGGCTTCAAAATGAAATGCAAAACAAATCAACAAAGGCTGGTTGTGGGAGTGTATTGTTTTGTAGTAAACCATCCACTTTGGGGGAAAAAACTCTTGCGCGTCCTAACCACATATGCCTGGAAATTGGAGGGTAAGTGACCTTTCGCTTCCTCTGGTAAACCCAATCATACACCCGAGAATGACGATAATGGATTGCATAGAAGAAAAATAATAATAATAGTATGAAAAATGAATACCATCCCCGAATAATAAGGTTATGCTATTGGGTCAGACTCGCGCCTTTTCGTGCGCGAACCTCAGGCCACTGATAATGTTGGCCGAAATGAACTCATAGATAGAAACCCAAGCCTGGATGCGAGGTTGAAGTGATTCCACAATGCATCAATTTGAGCATATCACTGGGCTCGGCAAAATCAAGCATGAAACCCAAAATACTCCCTAGCATTGGGGACCGCGAAAAAGGTCGACAAGTAGAAACAAGTCACAGTGGTCCGTCCCTTATTTCAGGATATGGGTTTTCGAAGGGTCATCAATGCAGTTTGCAGAGAACGAGGGTGTTGCATCACCAACATGAGTCCTTTTCAATGGGAGACCAAATGGTCAATGTCATATCATGTGGCGCAGCCGAAATTAGAAACACTATGGTTTTTCTGTATAGGATTTGCAATACCCCCAAATGACATGTTTGCCATTTCTTTCTAGTGTATGTATGATGATATATATATATATATATATGTGTGTGTTTATTGTTATGATCATTATTGCTGTTATTTTACTATTATTATAATGGTTGTTATTATCACTATTATTATCTTTCAATGTATATACATAAACATATTATTATATCATATATATAACTATATTATATATATATACATATATCATTATATATATATATCATTATATATATACACATATTATATTAAATATATATATACATATTATATTAAATATATATATATTATTTATATTATATATATAATATGTATATTATATATATTATTTTATATATTATTATATATATATTGGGTCCATGTTCAACTCGAAACCAAGGCTTTAGGTCTGTACTTTCTATTCACTTTTTAAGTCCCCAGATGTCTCGGATCCCCTTTTTGCTCCCACCTGCTTGATCTCGTCAGTGAGCGCCTTGCCTAACCCGTCCTGGAGGATGACCATCTTTGGGACCCCAATGGACCCCAAAAACCAACAGATCCACCAATGTTTGTATTTCAACATTAGGGGGAAAAAAAATAGGGCTCCAATTTTGGCATTGCAAAAAAAAAATCGAATTTCGCAGTGTCAAAGAGGAAAATGGCTATGGGATTGTTTTAAAACAGGGCTCCAATCCACAGATGTTGTTTCTTGTTTTCTTAGAGGAAACCATGCAATTCTTGGGGGCATCCAAGGTTGATCTACAAGCAGTTGGCGACCTTAGCAAATTGACCTTCCGAATTGGCGCTGGAAAAACCTATGTGTGTGTGTGATTGCGTGCATATATAATTTATCATTATTTCTTATCATCATCACTATCCTTGGTGTATATTTGTCATGTCATTATTGTACATCATTATCATCAATATTTCATGTGCACAGACCTTATTTGCTCCATAGAAAGGCAGTTTGCAATCATCATTATCATCATTATCATCATTATTTTCTTATCACTGCACAGACAATATTTTTTGTCACAACAATGGCACAGCCCCAAGCAGGGCTCCATTTGTCCAAAGCAGGCTATCCAGAGCAGGTGATTCCCTGGCCCCTCCTGCAGCGTGAGGACCAGCGCTTGCCCACCGTATGCAAAGTACTCCTTGAGGCCGCAGAAATCGGTAGCGACGGTAGTGACTTGTGGGTGCAGTTTGTCATCTGAATCCATGTTGCTAGGGATTTTCTGTCACTGTTTGTATCCACTTGTTGCTCGAAATGTCTGGAATTAAAGTATCGGATGTCACTGGAACGTATAGGATACAGTCTGGTTTTGTTGGTAGGGCTAATCCACTTATTACTGGGGCAAACTCACCTACTCATTGGATCACATAGCATATGGAAGAATATGCTCCTTTTGGAAAATATCGAAGGGCCGGTTTGATATATCATTTATCATCGTTGACCCATTGGATGTTGAATGGGGGGTAACCTCTCTTATTTATCAGCCAACCAGTGGGAGATCCTCCGGGCTTCTGGCCATCGAAATGGGGAAAATCATCGGGAACTGAGCGGCTGATTTTCCGGCAAACTAGGCCTGATTACCAGCAGCACTTCACTCAACATCTAAAAACGATTTTGGCTGAGCAAATGTCATGATTCCATACAAATCCCATGGGAAATCCCACAAGAAATACCTCCCAGAAGTCCCTAGAAATCCTCAGAAATGGAGCAAGTGGTGATCCTCCCAGGAGCTAGCTTGCTTAGCTTCCTAACCCCTGTTTGGAACTGGTACCCCAGACAAGTCCTCGATCAAAATCAGCAAAAAAATCGGAGGAACCCAATAGCCGCTTAGCCCAATTCTGTGGCACAAAACCTGGTTCCTTTTCCTGAAACATCACAATTTGTGCCACCCCAAGAGTGACGTAAAACCCAATGGATGGCGCGGCCATCGGCCACCTCGTGGGTAGGTTTTCAGCCAACAGCATCTGAAAAGTCGCAATTGTTTATAGAAACATGATCCACAAAAGGATGTTTTCCATAGGTTGACAAAATATTTTGGACAGAAATGGCTTGCAACATGTCACAAGCCGAGCAAGGTCTACCCCAGCGTTCGCGGCACCCATAGCCACATCTTTCATCAGTTGAGATGGTGGATTCCAGAATCTGCCATGAAATGACCTGCCTGAAGCACCAGTTCTGATAGGTAAATCACCATGTGTATCATCCAGAAATGGGCCATTTTCCATAGCTATGTCAAATAAGATTCGAGCAAGCCATCCTAGGATCCAATTTTTACGGGCACATCCAACACCTCTACCATCAATCCGCCCAAGGGCGCTGTTTTCAATTTTTGAGCCATGAAAATACTCCTGTCCCATCTCATTATACTGGTTAGTAAACATTCCCATTTTGGGTTACAATAATCCCAACTAAACCAGTCAGTATATAACCCCTATATTAACCCATCAACTGAAGTATTTTTCAAGGGCTCAATTGAAGGCTCCTCCTCCATTTTTGGACATAAAACCCATGCTGTCTCACACACCCTGCAGGATCCACTCCCAGCTCCTCTTGCATGTTGTAGTTGATGTGTCGCATGCCCAGGGCGTTCAGTTCCTGATCACCAAAGGCCCGACCCCTTGCGGGTGCACTTGCGGTTGATTTTGGTGGGTCTCAACATGCTGATTTCACCTCAAGTTGGGACATTGGGCCCCTTTTTTTATAGCTACATTGCCACTTATTGCCACTTACCAAGTGGAACTGCACCCCCAAGTGTGAGCTGAAACGATCCGGACTTCGATGCGCTGTGAGACATGGGAAGCAATAAGCCATTGCCCGCATCATCCGGCACACTTGGAATGGCACTTCTATGATGAAAGGGCGGCCAGGTCCAACAACCACCATCATCCAGAGGCTATATCACCTACCATCATGAAGGGGTCATGCCTCATCACTAGTCCTTTAGTTTAACCATCAACCACCATCATTAAATTTCAATGCATGCCGCATGACCATATAACCATCAAAGATTTCAAGAAGTTTGAACCATATAATTGTCTTCAATTTTCTGGTTGGTGGTTTCACAGCCCCCTGAAAACTATTGGTGGAGCCACATCACATTTCGAGGGTTAAAAATAAAAAATGTTTCAGAAAACAATTAAAAAAAACACCAACCAAAAGTCATGATTGATCATCATGTTCTTAAAAAAAAAAAACAGATAACCATCCACCACCAGGGAAAAAAAAACTGCCGCCAGAGCTTCGAAAACCAGCCTGGAGATGTTGTGCAAACCAGCCACAGCTGTCCCCACTGCCTCCACCACCTAGAGCGCTTCAACTGGGAAGAGTCGGAGAGTCCCTGGTTGCTTCGAAACGTACTACTATGTAATATAATGTAATATACATATATATATATATGTACATGTTATACGTTATAGTATTAGATATTGTATTTCAAGTAATCATAGTGATCAATTGAAAATGCATTGTTCCAGAGTTTGAACATCAATGTCAAGGGTTTGATGCAGGGAAAAACACGTACTTGTTGGCAGTCTATCCCTGGGATCATGGGTAGGAAAACATGATTTCACGATGTACCATGCTATGTGGCCGGGATGGGCTGTTCTTCCACAACCTTCCATTGAATTTCCCATGCCACTTCAAGGAACAGTAAAGCACTGTGGAAAACAAATGATCTGTTTCGAATTTTCGAAGCGACATTTAGAAGGTTCCAAGTATGCAAAAGGGTGCAACAAATGTAGTAAATTACGGAGTCGCTAGAAGCATTCCCACCACAAAGCCATGACCAGCGTACATTTAAATCCTGTGCGTTGGAAACCTCACAGTGGTGCATTACAACGGATTTTTTCGTGGCAACAACGGATTTTTGCTGCTTCTATGACTCTATGACTTCTATGTGAGCTCTACAGCGTGTAGCTTTGAATCGGAACGATTACGAATCGGGCGAATCAGGCGCCAAATCGACGTTTATTCGCTGACAGTCCCTATGAAACCTCTCATGGCAGCGGCCCAGTGAACCAAGGGACTCTGCCAGGTACACTTTGCGATGTATATATATATACAGTGTATAATGTGATAAACCCAATCGTAAATCCCAATAGGGGATGTTTTACTATTGGGTTTACAATATTTTATACTGTATCTTTCAGCGATTATCCAAATCATTCCAAACAAACATGTTAATGCAACACGCAGCTTCATTCTGAAGTTCTTTGTATAGATGGGACATGTGGCAGCCGCTGGTGCCTCGCTAAACCGACAACTCCTTCCCATCCACCCTCCGTAGGGAAGATGATGATAAATAAGGAGGGTATCTTTGGGGAAAAACAAATCTCAGACACCAAACTCATATTGAAATATGTTGGTTCATCAAGAAAGCCGTTGGATTTCAGCACCCCCCCGTGCAGTGACCCCAAAATCATCGCTGGGGTCAAAGATTCGCCGTTGATCCTGGTGGATAAAATTCACCATTTTCCATCTCCGCCTTCGCGAAGAGATTTCGAGTCGCTGGAGAATTCTCAAATTCATCTTCCACCTCTGCTGGGAAGCGATCGGAGTCGTCCCCAGTTATCCCGAAATACCTGGGATAATCCTCCATACACAGATAGCCCCCAGAAAGAGCCTATTCGAATTGGAGGTGCAGTTAAGGTTACAAATGGGTGTACTCCTGGTTATAAACCCCTATAAGTTGGCAAATAACCCCTGTACCTATAGTATCCTATAGTTATATATCCACTTATAACTGGAACCGCGTGGGAGGATCCAACCTGCTTATCTCCAACCTCGAACCGGCCTCTTCGACGCTGGTTGTCCACTCCCGATAGCGCATGCGCACGGACAGTGGAAAAAGTTTCTTGGTCTCCGGGGCAATGCGGAACAGGTGTTTGTACAAGATTTCACCTTGGAATCAGATCCGGCTGCTGGCTGAAGGGTATTCTTTCAACAGGAAATGTGCAAATGGTATAATGATCAATAGCCATTAATAATTGTTTATAATCATTAATCATCATTAATAACAGGAAATATGATTTTTGGGGTTTCTGCAGTTTCCCCTTAGTAACCATCATCTGTGCTGACGTCGTCGTGAGGCTCTTTTGGTTCACCTTGGGATTTGATGTTCTGTTGCTGTCTTTGATTTGTCGTGGCAAGGGGATGCTAAATTTTATGGCAAGAGGCTTTCAACTGGAGGTACCGGCTAATTGGAGTTTGGGGGTTGCACATATATATATATGCATATATATGTATAAATACATATATATATATATATACATATTTATAGAAATGTAATACATATATATATATATGTAATACATGTATACATATATATTTAGGTAATACATATATATATATATGTATGTAATACATATATATATATATACAGACGTATATTATATACATACGCATGGATACCAGTAGTACCGCACAAGGCGGTGGCGGAAGTTTCAAAATAGGAAACCTATAGGAGAGGTTGGTTGTGGTGAATCAGGGATGGCAGAGCGAAGCCACTGATGGACCGACAGGTGCTTGAGGTCTCCTCTCTTTCTCTCTCTTTCTCTCTCTTTCTCTGACTATCTACCTACCTACCTACCTATCTATCTATGTATCTATCTATCGATCTATCTCTCTCTCTCTTTCATCCAATTACCTATCCATCTAATCTAATTAATCTATCTATCCATCTAATCTAATTAATCTATCTATCCATCTAATCTATCTATCTATCTATCTATCTATCTGTTTATCCATCTAATCTTATTAATCTATCTATCTATCTATCTATCTATCTGTCTAGCTGTCTACCTGTCTATCTGTCTATCTGTGTATCTATCTATCTATCTATCTGTCTACCTGTCTACCTGTCTATCTATCTATCTATCTATCTATCTGTCTGTCTGTCTGTCTGTCTGTCTGTCTATCTGTGGTGCAGTGCCATTCAGTGTAATGTAGTGTAGTGGAGTCTAGTGTAGTGTAGTGTAATTAGTGTAGTGTAGTGTAGCGTGGTGTAAATGTAGTAGTGTAGTTGTAGTTGTAGTTGTAGTTGTAGTTGTAGTTGTAGTTGTAGTTGTAGTTGTAGTTAGTGTAGTGTAGTGTAGTGTAGTGTAGTGTAGTGTAGTGTAGTGTAGTGGAATGTAGTGTAGTGTAGTGTAGTGGAATGTAGTGTAGTGTAATGTAGTGTGGTGGAGTGTAGTGGAATGTAGTGTAGTGTAATGTACTGTAGTGTAGTATAGGGTAGTGTAATTTAGTGTAGTGGAATGTAGTGGAGTGTAGTTGCGTAGTTGTAGTTGTAGTTGTGTAGTGGAAGGTGGTGTAGTGTAATGTAGTGTAGTATAGTGGAGTGTAGTGTAGTGTGAACCTGTTCTTGGGAACCTTGTATGGGCACCTGTTCCTGGGAACCTGTGGCTGGGAACCTTGCTTGCGAACCTCTTCCTGGAAACATTGCTTGGGAACCAGCTTGCTGGGAACCTTGCTTGGACACCTCTTCCTGGACTCTTCCTGGAAACACTTGTTTGAAAACCTGTTCTGGGAACCCTGTTTTGCTTGGAAAAACATGTTCCTGGAAATCTTGCTTGGGAAACTTGCTGGGAACCTTGCTTGGACACCTCTTCCTGCAAACCTCTTCCTGGAAACGCTTGCTAGAAAACATGTTCTGGGAACCTTGTTTTGCTTGGGAAAAACATGTTCCTGGAAATCTTGCTTGGGAAACGGTTCCTGGAAACCTTGAAAACGGTTCCTGAAATCCGTGCTTGCAAAACCTGTTCCTGGGAACCTTGCTTGGGAACCTTGCTGGGAACCTCTTCCTGGGAACCGTGCTTGGGAACCTATTCCTGGGAACCTTGCTTGGGAACCTCTTGCTGGGAACCCTTGCTTGGGAACCTGTTCCTGGGAACCTCTTGGAAACCTTACTTAGGAACCTGCTTTTGGGAACCTTCCTTGGAAACCTTGCTTGGGAACCTCTTCCTGGGAACCCTTGCTTGGGAACCTCTTGCTGGGAACCCTTGCCTGGGAACCTCTTGCTGGGAACCCTTGCCTGGGAACCCTTGATTGGGTACCTGTTCCTGGGAACCTTGCTTGGAACCGCTTGGGAACCTTTCCTGGGAACCGCTTCCTGAAAACATTCCTCTTGGTAACCTCTTCCTGGAAACCCTTGCTTGGGAATCTGTTCCTGGTAACCTTGCCTGGTAACCTTGCCTGGGAACCTTGCTTGGGAACCTCTTGCTGGGAACCCTTGCTTGGGAACCTGTTCCTGGGAACCTCTTGGAAACCTTACTTGGGAACCTACTTTTGGGAACCTTGCTTGCAAACCTTGCTTGGGAACCTCTTCCTGGAACCCGGTTCCCAATCTTGCGCCGTGCGGATTTGGCTGCTCCGAAGGATTCTCTTGGAAAAGGAAACCCTTCCCCGGAACCTTCCCCGGAACCCGGTTCCCAGCGGATTTGGCTGCTCCGACCTGCTCCAGCACCTTGGCTGAAGACCCCAAGCTTACGCTGTTGGGGAAAAATCAATGATAATTATTTGACGCCTTTGGTCTAACAAATTGTATGACATACTTATGCATCTCCTTGTGCTTTTGTCACCGTATATTTCCAGGTTTATCCCATCTGCTTTTCTGCAAAGCTTCCATGTCGATTCGGTCCCGCTGTGGAGCCGGTCCCTTTCTATGGATTCGGTCCTTGAAAGAACGACATTTGTTTACATAAAAAACTATTGCAGAATACATCAAATCACATGTAAATTTATTGGGATAGGATGGGATAGGTAAAAAATTGTGTCAGAATTATAGGGAAAATCGGAGACTGAGAAGTATTTGTCGAGGGAAGGCCCACATATCACTGATTGCATGTTTGTCAAAGGAAGTTTAGGGGGAGAAACTTCCGTGTTACGGACTTTTAGAATGTCAGGGAAAGAGTTAGTCAAAGAAACAGTTAGTCAAAGAAACAGTTAGTCAAAGAAAGAGTTAGTCAAAGAAAGAGTTAGTCAAAGAAACAGTTAGTCAGGGAAAGAGTTAGTCAAAGA